GGATGAAGGCACAGGGCAGAGAAATGGGTCCTCACATCACAGTGTGTGAATCAGGCCCCCCCTGGCCTCCCTCCGGGTGGGGGGGGGCAGAGATCCCTGGAAGGGCAAGGACAGGGTGGGCATGGGCTGGGGCCTGGGGGTCCTCTCGGCTCCCAGGACTGGCAGGCAGGGCAGAGGGTACTAACCTGCAGCCTGGGGTTCTCCCGGGCCCCAACATGACCTGGCTGGGGGGGGTGGGGGGCTGGCCCTCCCCAGGAAGGGGGCGGGGCCTGGGCAGGTCCAGAGGGAGAAGGGCGGGGCCAGACACTCACCCGGGGCCTCGAGGTTCTCGCAGAGTTCAGACTTGGCCTCCCCGTTGGGCCGGAAGCTGCCCTTCTGCGTGAACTTGTTGGACATGGTGGCGGCGGTGACCACGGCTTTGAGGCTGCGCTTGCGCTTGGGCACGTTCTGCTCCGGGTGGAAGAGGATGATGTAGACCTTGGGCATGTAGAGCATCCCCAGGGACACCGAGGCGCTCAGGCTCACCGACACCGTCAGCGTGGTCGTCTGGATGTACAGCTGGGGCGGGCGGGGAGGCGTCAGAGCGGCTCGCCCTGACCTCGCGGCCTGACCCTCCGCCCTCCCCAGAGGCAGACGCAGCGGGGACAGACTGATCCGAGGGAGCATGGAGGAGAGCCGGACCTCAGACCAGAAGCCCTGGATTCAAGTCCTGACCACATCCGTCCTCCTGCCTCCGTGTCCTCACGTGAAATGCAGGCGTGATGATTACAGTCCTGCACTTACCTGGCAGGGCTGTGAGGAGGAAAGACGGGGCCATGGTAACAGCATGCAGGACAATGCCCAGCCCGGGAGCTCGTGGAAGTGTCCCCACTGATATGCGCTGTTTGGAGGGGCCGCCCGCCGTCGGGACCACAGCTGACCCTCCTCAGGAGGGTGTCCCAGCCCCTCAGCCAGGCCCCCCATTCAGCGGCTGCCCCCACGGGCCACCCTGTGCAGAGCAGTCACTGGCACGGGAGCCGCAGCGCCCAGCGCGACGCGCAGGGCAGCACAGTCGAAGCTCATTTCACGCTCGCTCGCCGGCACTAACAGTGACAGATGTTTGGCGAAATGAAAGCCCATTAATTTGGGTGCCAGTAGTCCATTCTTCACTAGTGGGGCCTTCCAGGCAGGCCTGGCGACTCCCACCACCCCCAGCTGGGATCCGCTCCCCATCTGCTCCCTCCGGGTCCCCCAGGCCCAGCTGCCCCTCTGGCCGCCTGCGGTCAGGGGAGGCCCCGGCTGTGGCCCCCAGATCTGGCCTGGGAGTCCTGCTCCCTAAATCTGCTGTTTCTGGGCCTGGGCCCCTCCCTCACCTGGGGCCTGGCTGACATGCCACCTCTTCCAGGAACCTTTCCCTGGCCCCAGCTCTACCCAATCCCCCGACACCCTTCATTCCTTGTACCCGACCCAGCAGTGGACATCACGGGTCTGGGTTTGCCTCCTGAGGTCCCCGGAGCCCTGGCCTCATCTGGGAGCCCTGGGGGCGCGTCTTTCTGTTCTCATGTCCTCGCCATCTCCTGCCCGGCTCCATAAACACCTCGAGCCCTGAATCTAAAGGTCTTCCTTCCAGCCCTTCCCCGAGAGGACAGAGCTGAGTGACCCTGGGGAGCCTCATCCCGCTCCGGCCCTCAGTGTTCTGATCAGTTCGATGGGGTGGAAGCGCCTGCCTCACCCGAACCACGAGGCTCCTCCCCAAGCGCAGCTGTGAAGCCGCATGAAACCTGCAGCACGTGTGAGGATGGAAAGACGGGTCCAAGGTAACAGCATGTACGACATGCTGCCTCATTGCCCACTGATCCCCGGAGCACACACCCTGCAGACGGCCCGCCCTTCCCGTCCTCACATGCCCCACACTCTCAGCCACGCAGGCAGCTGTCTCCAGCGTGGGGGCGGGGAGGTCGTGACAGGCCAGTGGGAGGGGCCTCGTGGCCGGGGAGGAAGGGGGACAGGCTCCAGAGACTCACAAGAGCTCCTTGGAGGAACAGTGGAGGCCCGGGAATCAAGAACAGGGCCTGTCTTCCCCACTGGACTGGGGGTGCCCTGGGGATGGGGCGTGTCTCTCTCATTACATGGGGGTTCCCCTGAGGGGAGGGGCTGTTCTCTCCTTTTCACACTGGGGGGTCTTGGGAACAGGAACAGGTTCTAGGTCAGACACCCATCTTAGGCCCTTTGCCCCCACCTTGTTATGGGGGTACAGTGGGCCCATATGGAGTTGGTGGCCAGGGTAGAGGCCCCCTCTCTGGGCAGAGTGAGCCCTGCAGTGGACAGACCTGTGGTGGGGCCAGGGGTCTAGGCCCCAGAGCCCACCCTGCCCTGCCCCAGTGTGGCTGCTGAGCCCCTAACACGAGCGGAGTCGGCAGCATGGCAGGTGGCCTGGGCAGCCACACCGGCACCTGCACCCCGTCTTGAATCCTAATAAGTTTTGAACAAGGGCCCCTCGTTCTCATTTTGCTCTGGGCCCTGGAAACTGGAGCCAGCCCTGAGCTCAGTGCGGGCTTCCCAGCCCCGGAGCCCTTCTGCAAACAAAATACAAGGAGGGGTGTGAAGCGAGGAAAGCGATGCCCATCTGCCGGCCCGGCCCTCCCAGCCTGGGCCCTGGGGGCTCCTCCCGCCATCCCAGGCTGGGGTGGCTGCTGTGTGCACAGCACAAGTGGGGTGGCCACCCCCCAGGCCCTTCCTTGCCCCAGGCTCTGGGATTCCCACCCCCCACAGCTCGGGCACTGCTCTGAGCCCCGGTGTGAGGGCGCACGCTGTCACCTGGAGGCAGTCGCACGTTGACCCCAGCAGAGAAGCAGTGGTCTCTACAACGTCTAGAACCAGCGGGCACTCCCACGGAGACGGGCCTGGCACAGAGGCAGGTCTTAAAGCCAGGCAGCGTGAGAGGCCCGTCTCTCCCTTCCACACGTGTCCCAGCCCAGAGGGTCTGAGCGGCCCATTCCCGCTCCCCCTTGGCCAGGCCCTCGCTCCGCTCGCTCGTCCTCTAAGGAAGCAGGAATCCCGCACAAAGCCTCCCAAGTCAGTGCCCTCCAGCGGGAAGGAGGCTGTCAGGGCTGGGGCTGGTGGGGGAGGGCAGAGGTCACCTTGGGGTGGGCAAAGGGCACAGAGAGGAGCTACTTGGCTGTAGGCGGCGGATTTCCTGTTTTGTATGAGGCCTGGTGGGTACAGAATGTGAGGGGCCTGGTGGTGGGCACCGAGGAGTTCTGCCCACTCGGCGCTTCTGCCCAGACTAACCCTGTGGCCACTGGGACCCTCAGCACCTGTTCACCAGATGAACTTCTCCACATCCTTGCAGCCTTCGCGGCCGCGTCCTGGCCAAGCCTGGCTGAGCAGTAACCCCACACGGCACAGAAGCTCTGGTCGGCTCGGGTAATGCGGCCGGCTGTGTGGTAAGCCCTGGAAATCCGGGCTAATGCTGGGAAATCCAGCCGCTGGCTCACCAGAGCGGCACAGCGTGGCTCCACGCCACCAGCACCCCACCAGCACCCGCACCCGCACCCGCACCCTGGGCAAGCAGGCGCAGCAGAGCACCTGCAAATTGGTTTGCACACCTGCATGCCCACAAACACACACACCTGTGCATTCCTGCGTCTCTGCATTCACACACACCTGAGCTCACAACCACACACTACCTGACGCAGACACACCTGGGCTCACACACAGGCACCCTTCATGTACCTGGTGCACAGTCGGGTGTGCACATACACAAAGATGCATTCACACATCTGCACACACACAGCTGAACACACACGTCACCTGCACACTCCACTTACCCTCACACATTTGCACATAATCTGCACACCCATAGGCACACACACTGCCTCTCCCACTCCCTGTGTATGCACATGCACACACGTGCACGCACATGGCAGCCAGGCCTGCAGCTCCCAGAGGTGTTTTGTAGCTGCCACCTGACAGCGCATAGGCAGCCCCAGGGTGTCTGTGCTCTCAGAAGCCTGGTGGTCTGAACCCACGGGACTGGGGAGCTCATCTCCTCACCTTTCCTCATGCAGAAGCCCAGGGGAGGGGCGCAGCCCAGGCCCCACGCCATCAGGGGTCGAGCTGGGGGTTGTGGGCACACACTGTGGGAAGCCAGCCTGCTGGGTGACCTGGGGCAAGGCCCTGCTCCTCTCTGGGCCTCAGAACAGACCCTCTCAGAGGCTCCTTTTCATGATCAGTGCTGAAGGGAGCCTCCTAAAAAGGGAGAGGCGGGGGGCTGGGGGGAGGAGGTCACCGGAGAGATGGTATTATCGAGGGAATTCCTCCGGCTGCCAGCTTCCTGGATTGTGGGGCGCCACCCCCACCCCAACCCCGCTGGCTTTGTGGGGCTCCCTAGTGCTGCAGGGCGTGGGCCACCGCCTGCACCTGCCCTCAGCACGAAGGGCCTCCCGCAGGCCTGGTGGGAGCTGGAGACCTGGCTCTCAGCACGAGTGAGGCCTGGTGGCTGCGCCGGCTCTGGAGCACCTGGCGCCAGGCCTGGTTTCAGACCTCGGGGCACTCACTACCAGCCCCAAGGTCTGCTACTTGGAACCCCAGCCCGCGGGCCACCCCTGGAAGACAGGCCACAGGCTTCCCTGGGCCTGGCCCCGGCATCGGCATCGGAGTGGAGCTGTTGGAGAAGAGGATGCCCCTAGGCAGAGAAGGTGTCCCAGAGCTGCAGGGGGCCATGGCAGGCTGGGGGCACCTGAGTTAGAGTAGGGTCATGTCCAGCTGTGCCACCACTGGCTGTGTGACCTCGGACAAGTCACTCTGCCTCTCTGTGCCTCCATGTCCTCGTGTATGAATGGGGTGGGGATATCTACCCTCACCTGCGGTTGCAGGGTGAGCCAATCAGTAGGTAAGGCACCTGGCAGATGACAAGCACCCGCCTGCCAGGCCTTTGGCGGCAGCCGCACTGAAGCCACGCCCTCGCCCTGCTGACACCAGGCTCACAGCCCTAATGCCATCCACGGGCTGCCGACCCCCCCAGTTACGTCCAGCCTGGGCCTCGCCCTCGAGCTCCAGGCTCATCTATTCAGCCGTTGACGTGACAGCGGCACTTGGGCATCGAACGGGCACCCCAAACAGCACGTCCAAAGGACCCCGATGTCCGCCCACATCAGCTCCTCTATCATCTCCCCCACTCAGTGCACGACACCCTCCCTTCCCAGCCTCACACCAAAAGCCACGGAGTCATCCCTGACTCCTCTGTGTCTCCCACCCACATGCACCCATCAGAGACAGGCCAGCCCCCCTCCCGCCCCCGCCAGACACAGCCAGAAGCCCGCCTCCCCACCAGCCTGCCGTGCAGCCCCTGTCGGGATTATTCCATAACCTCCTCCTGGGAGCCCTGATCCGGGCTCGCCTCCTCCGGGCCCCACCCAGCAGCCAGCGGGATCCTTTTAACCCTACGCAGCAACGCCTCCCTCCCACTCACAACCCCGCAGCAGCCCCCTTCTCACTCACAGCAAAAGCCAACGGCCTTCCCACTGGGTCCCATGCCCTCCGCCCTGTGCCCACCACCCTCCTCAGTCCCAGACCCGCACAGCAGGTCACTGCGTCTGCACCATCACGCCGTGTGGTTGTTACAACGCCTGTAGGGTGAGGAGAAGGATCACGGCCCTAATGCACGGATGAAGAAACTGAGGCAGAGGCCAGCGGGCTTGCCTAGGACCCCACAGTTAGACACAGAGCTCCGACCAGGAGCTGGGATCTGGGGTCCCCATGATCTTCCATGTCTCTGGCCTCTACTTCACTGACACCCAACTCTTCAGGATAATCCCCCAGTGCTGTGCTGGGACGTGGGCAGAGTCCCCGGGGCCTGGGGGTGGGTCCAGGGGATGGGTCCAGGATGGCCTACAGAGCCAGCAGGAGGTGCAGGAGGGAAGGGCCCCCGGGCTGACGCTGCCAGGCCGGCTCCTGGGCAGGGCGGCTTGGGGCTGGGAGAGGGGAAAGGTGCCTGACCCACCTCCCACCTCAGGGACCCAGGGGATCCTGTGAGGGCAGAGACAGGGTGGGCGGAGGAGGAAGAAGAGAGGGATGGACAGAAAGGAAGGTGGGCTGAGTGGAGAGGGAGGTAATGGACCGTCTAGAAAAGAATGAAGAACGAAAGACGGTGCAGCCTCCCAGGCTCAGAGAGGAGAGAGAGGAAGAGGAGAGAAACGAGGAAAGGGGGGGAGAGAAAGAGAGGAGGCGGGAGAGGCAGGGTTGGAGAGATGAGGAAAGAGGAGGAGGCTAGGAAAGGGAAAGAGAGAGGAGGGGAGAGATGAGACAGAGAAAAGGAGAGGAAGCAGGAAAAGAGAAAGGGAGGGAGGAGGGAAAGCCCAGGACCTGGAGAAAAAACTCACAATGAAGAGAGAAGACAGAGTAAAGCGTGAAAAAAGCACTTCCAAGCCGGGTGGAGGCTGCCCCTACTCGGCCCTCACCCCCACCCCACCCTCCATCTCCCACTCACCTTGTCCGCCGACTGCGAGGTGCCAAAGAAGATGGGGATGAAGGCCAGCCAGACGATGCAGGTGGTGTACATGGTGAAGCCGATGGGCTTGGCCTCGTTGAAGGTCTCGGGCACGCCGCGCGTCTTGATGGCGTACACCGTGCAGGTGACCATGAGCAGCATGCTGTAGCCCAGCAGGCAGATGAGCGACAGGTCCGAGATGTCGCACTTGAGCACCCCCCGGGCGAAGCGGGGGTCCAGCGTCCGCTGGTCCTGGAAGTCCACCACCGAGTGGGAGGGGTCCACCACGAACCACACACAGATGCCCAGCAGCTGCAGGGAGATGAGGCTGAAGGTGATGGCCAGCTGCGAGGCGGGGCTGATGAACCGCGGGGCGCTGACCGACCGTTTGCCTTGCTCGAAGATGCGGTAGATGCGGTTGGTCTTGGTGAGCAGGGCTGCGTAGCTGATGCTCATGCCAAGCCCCAGGAAGATGCGGCGCAACGAGCAGGTGCCCAGGTCGGGCTCCGCGATCATGAGGAAGGTGGTGGCATAGCACAGGAAGATGCCCGCCAGCAGCACGTAGCTCAGCTCGCGGCCCGAGGCCTTGACAATGGGTGTGTCGTTGTAGCGCATGAAGGTGACCACCACGAAGAGCGTGGCCGCGATGCCCACTATGGCCAGGAAGAGGGGCAGCACGGCCCAGGGCGAGGCCCACTCCAGCTTGATGATGGGGATGGGCCGGCAGCCCGTGCGGTTCTCGGTGGGCCGCATGTCGTACGGGCACGTCTTGCAGGTGTAGCGGTCCACCTGGTACTGGTACCCAGTGCAGGGCTCGCAGTGCCAGCAGCAGGGCATGCCCTTCACTGTCTTCTTCCGCTCCCCCGGCTGGCAGGGCAGGCTGCAGATGGAGCGGGGCAGCTGCTGCCCACTCCCCGGCCACAGCATCCGTTCCATCTGGCAACGACAGTGCGGAGGAGTGGGCCTCAGGATGTGCCCCAGTGCCCCGGACCACCCCACGGCTGGCACTCTGTAGCCCCACACCTGAATCACCCACTTAATTGGCTACAAATCCAGTTGCCTGGGCCCTCCAGACCCGCTGAAACCAACAGCTGGATTCAAACAAGCTCCCCCCGATTCAGATACACTGGCCTATGAGAAATCCTGATCGAGTCCAAAACTCCAGGGTTGTAGAGGGGACAGCAGAGAGCAGCCTAGAGCAAGCATGTCAAACTCGTGGCCCATGGGCCACATGTGGCCCCCAACAAATATTTTTGCGGCCCAGCCAATATAACGGTATGTAAGAAACATTTTAATAAAAATCCCATAACTTAATTTTTACAATATCCTGTTATGCATAACTAGCGGCCCAGTGCACGAAATTCATGCACAGATAGGGTCCCTAGGCCTGGCCAGCAGCCCTGATCAGGGTCTTCCAGCTGCTGGCTGGGGCCTTCCTTTGTTCTGTGCCGCCCCCTGGTGGTTAGCGTACATCATAGCAAGCAGTTGAACTCCCGGTCAGTCAAAGATGAACTCCCAAGAGGACAATTTGCATATTAGCCTTTTATTATATAGGATTATTAATAACTACAACGTTCACTAATTACTGATTACTATAATCGTGTTGCATTCATTTCCCTTACACACCTTACACACCATTTCTCTCCACTAATACTAGCAGCGAATATTTTAGCAGCAGATGGCCACATCATTGGTCTTGGACTGACTTGTTTGGTGGGCACAACAGGAAATATTTCACTTTTGGAGAACAAGGAAAATAGGTTTATTTGTGTTACACTTATTAATTTGTGCAGTTATTCAGTGTCTGATAAGTTAATGTTCAAGAAAAAATATTAATTTTTATTAAAATAATCTATTATTTAATGTTAACGATGACTCATTTATTTCAGACCTTTGTGTTCAGCATGTCTCTATCGAAATAAACCTATGTTTCTATGAAAATCAAAGCTTTTGTTTTTTTCCGGCCACATAAGCTTACACCTTGTTTATTTGGCCCGTGTTAGCCTGTGAGTTTGACATGCTTGGCCTAGAGCAGTGGTCGGCAAACTGTGGCTCGCAAGCCACATGCGGCTCTTTCGCCCCTTGAGTGTGGCTCTTCCACAAAATGCCGACTTCTGCGCATGTGCCACGAAGTTTCAATCGCACTGTATGTGCGCGCCCGCATGTGGTATTTTGTGGAAGAGCCACACTCAAGGGGACAAAGAGCCGCATGTGGCTCGCGAGCCGCAGTTTGCCGACCACTGGCCCAGAGGCACACGGCAGAGCAGAGCACGCTCAGGAGGCCTCGCTGCTCAGCTGCGGCCCCCAGACCAGCAGCAGCAGCTCCACCCAGGAGCCTGCTGGGAAAGCAAAAACTTTGGTCCACCCCAGGCCCACGGACTCAGAGTCTGAGTTTCCAGGAGATCCGGGTGCACACAGGCGGGGAGGAGGGCAGCTGATGGCTTGGCCCACGGGCCTCCTCTGGCGCCACATGGAGAGGGGACCAGCGGAGAGCAACGAACAAAGGTTTCCTCACAGGACAGCCACTGCGTGCCCAGGGTCAGTGTTCACATCTCGCTCTAAACTAGTGCTAGTCACCACCCCACGTCTCCAAAGACAGTCACTGTGAGCGAGCCACGGAGTGTGGGCACCGCTCTGAGTGTGACAGAATTCTGGAAAGTGAGAGGCCCTGGGAGCTCCAGGTGCTGGGCAAAGGGAGCTGACCACTTGGGAGCCGGATTCACAGTGTCTGCTCTACAGGAAGTGACTCTAAGGAAGAGCCGATGCTTAGAGAGCAGTGGGCCTGCCCGCACCGGGCCACGTGGGTGCTGGGTGCTTACTCCTGGAGAACAACCAGCTGGCCCCGGAGCGAGGGGCGGGTTTCAGAGCTGAGGAACAAGGGGGGAGGGGGTGCGGGGAGGGGGAGGACAAAAACCGGTGGGAAGAAAACCACGAGGAAGAAGCTTGTCCTGTGGCCCTGGCATGACAGGGCTGTGTGGTCCCCAGTAGCCAAGGGCACAGCAATGGCCGGCCAGGGCCTGCCAGGATGCCAGGCCGGACAACGCCCGAGCCCCGGAGCTGGAAGACTGCGGGGAGGGACCTTTCCCAGAGGACACGGGTGACGGCGGGCGTTCTGGAAAATTCTGGCTCCAGCGGAAAACGCAGTGAATGTGGTCACAGTTCTGCTGCCAGCTGGCTGCGTGCCCTGGAGCAGACACTGCAGCCTCTGAGCCGTGTTGTCCATCTGCTCCAATGATCGCGGACATGAAGCCACTTGCCCTTTGGCACTTAGGGGGTTTCCGCTCAGAAGTCATAATGGAAATGCTTTGATTTCACCAGAACGTCCGCCCCACAAGGGCAGGGTCTTCATGTTTGCTTCCCTGCTGCACATCCAGTCCCCAGACAGGGCTGACA